CTTTCTGTATCTCTCTCTCTCTCTCTCTCTCTCTGTCTTCCTGGCGAGTGCACATGCATGCGCCCTACAGCAAAAACCTCTCCAAAAAAAAAAAAAAAAGATTCGTGCTGTCATGCTGTGAAATGCCTATGGAGAGGGCACAAGGCAGGGATCCAGGGATGGCTTCTAGGACATGAATGTATCCTCCAGCTGACAGCCATTTGGAAGTCCAGAGCCCTCCATCACACAATCACAGGGAAATGAATTCTGTCAATCCTTGAAAGAGCTTGGAAGCAAGTTCCTCCTAGGCAGGCCTCCAGATGAGAAGACAGCCTGCCATACCTTGATTATAACTTCATGAGTGAGACCGTGAGCAGAGGAGCCAGCTAAGCTGTGTTTGTACTCCTGGATCCCAGAAACTGTGAGGTAATAAATGTGTTTTAAGCCACTGTATTTGTGGTAATTTGTTACACAGCAATAGAAAGTTAACATTACTAGATATTGCTGGATTATTTCACACAATGGCTGTAATCATTTATGTTCTGCAAACACTGTATAAGAGTCTCTTTTCTACACATCCTTGCTAACATTTAGAAATGCTGTTTTTTGCCAATACCTAAGGTGCGGAATTTAAAAATATATAAATTATATGCATAGATTACTCCTTGAACATAATAAAGTGAAAAATAGATACTAACTTAAAACTATATATCCTGTTATATTTTTTCAGTTTCATAAGTACTATTACCTAAACAACATAGCAATAAGATAGTTAAAAGTTGCAACTGCTGATAATTAATAAAAAAACTAACTAAACATATATGTGTGAGAAAATACGTTTTCATAATGTTTCTTTCTGTTCTCTGCTACAATTTAACTCTTCATTGCATATTTAAATTTTCAAACTATATGATTCTTCTTTAAAAGAAGACTATAAATCAATAGATCTAATTAAATAGATATTACCTATATTAAATAATGACTTTTGTTTCAATATTTCATCATATGGTGGAATATTTCCATTCTTTCTGTGATCTTTTACATTAATACTCTAATTAATACAGTAATACATTGACTCTATAAATCTCCTGGAACCTTACTTTCTCTTCTTACTTTCTTTCGTTTCTTTTATGTAATGGTAAAACTGAATACAGTCAAACATAAAATCAACTGTAACTTTCAGCTCTGCTCTTCTGCTAACATTGTACTGATTCCTGTTGTCAGTGCAAAGTAATGACATCAAACTAAATATTCTCCCACTGAAAGTGGCCATAGAATATACTTAGGTTTTACTTACTAGCACAGCACACTTAAAACTTTTAGGAATTCATTTCCAGCTCTCTAACCACCCGTCCACATTGTATCTGTATGCTTGCTTCACTAAACCAGGTGTTTGTCAATCTAGTCCTTTGCATCTTTGAACACTCTGATGCACACTGGATGTCATTATAAATTAAACAAACTTCTTTCCTCCAAGAAAAACTTGTTTTAAAGCACAGATGTAATTTGAGGTTATGAAGTGGAAGTTAGATTTCAAATAAGTTTACAATTTGTATAAAGAAATCAGAAAGTTCTGTTTGAGTTTATTGCCTTTTTCTGGGGACATTTTTTTGAAAAGTTCGGAAACAACCTCATTTCTAAAAACTTAGCCTTTTTATTTTTCTGTTGGAGTTTTGGTCACGACTGACAACTCAAGTCAGGTAGTTCATCCTTCTCTAGGCTATATGGCCTTTTCAAGGGTTATCAGACAATTTGGGAGAGCCAGCATGTTTCTGCTTCACTGTAAAACTTGTCTACATTCTCATTTTCAGTATGGGGCAGGACATTCTTCTTGTTCCACTTCTGATTCTGAGTTTTGAATCAGAAAACCAAGATTTTTGGAGGCCAGCAGGTCCCGTGGTAGTTAAAGGCACTGGATTCCCACATGGCCGACTGTGGTTCAAGTTCCCGACCTGGTGGCTTGCTTTTTTACTTTCCCTTTCTCTCTCTCACTTTCTCTCTCTCTCTCTGCCTCTCTCTGGTCAAATTTTAAAAATAATAATAACGAATGGAATTAAATAGATGAACAATTCTTAAAAAAAAAAAAAGGTTTTTTGTTTTGTTTTGTTTTAAGGTTTTTGCCATAGGTCATGTGCACTAGCCAGAGAAAAATAGAGACAATGAGAAGGATACTGAGAAATCACCCCCTGTGGGGACTGCCACAATCACTTCTCCATTCTCTTTCTGGGATTTTGGGCATGCATGCACACATCCCCAGTGTAATTTTCAAGCCACCAGGTCTAGGACTTGAACCATGTCACCCATGTGGGAGTCCAGTGTCTTAACCACCATGCTACTTGCTGGCCCTGAAAATAAGATTTATAGCAGGCCAGTATTTGAATGTCTTTCCAATGGCCTGCAATAATGACAGCCATCATATAGGCACATGTTTAAGGAAGCTATCTTCTTCCAATTCTATAAAGTTAAAATTTTCATTAAGTTGTTCTGCACATTTCAAGGAAACTGAAATGACCAAACACTTTCATTGTGAAAACATCACAGCCCTTGTTTTTTTTTTTTTTTTCTTTTTTTGAGAGGTTTTCACTATAGGGTGTATGCGTAGACAGAGAGAGACATAGAGACAGAAAGCGAGAAATCACCCCCCAGGAGGGATGATCATGCTGCAATCCCTTCTCCTCCATTCTCCTCTCGGGATCTTTTTTTTTCATTTTCTTTGGTAAGAAATTTAAAACTGAATAGAATTTTCGGACTTGACATTTGCACCAAAAGCAGATAAATTAGCTGTCTAGTTTGTATTTGAACAGGATATAATACCCTTTGCTTCATGATTTTTATTAAAATCTTAATAATTTTTA